GAAAAACAAGAAAGAAAAGAAAAATGTGGATTAAAGATGGAGCCAGACACGCTCTCACCAGAGCCAGCCCAGTTCGAAGTCATGGCACCCTCACTGGAGCGGGTCAGACTCGTGGTTGCAGTGCTCTCGCGGGAGCCACAGTCACTCTGAAGTTGGGTTTGTGAGCACAATGGAGAACAGAGTAAGCATGGAGACCTGCACTAACCCCACGGTGTGTGCTCGGAATTTGGTCCTCCTGTGGAGGAAATGTGGCCACATGTACGGCATACTAGAGTTGGGCAGAACCAGCCTGAACAAGGAATGGCAGTGACTTCAGTTGGCTGCTCCCCGCCCAGAGCAGATTGGTGGGATCAGCTTGGACTGGAGCATGCCACTGGCCAGGACCCAAGTGAGGGATGGAATTGTCCCTGAAGTTGTCCCAAACGGGTTCAGTCCATGTGGCCCACATTAATGTGATAAAGGCCCTTGCTGGTTGACTGGTTCAGAGAGGAGGGCCAGCCTACACTGCTCCTGTTTGCACCTCAGTGACCAACAGCAAACTGAAGAAGGCAGCAAACCCTAGCCAGCACGCTTCAGAACAACCATAACCAATATGGAAAGGGGCTGGGACCTCCACCACACACCTGTATGGAAGAAACCAGAAACGTGACAAGAAAAAGAAATACGAAAAAGCCTCTATCCCTCAACCCAGGTAATATGGCTCCTGGAGAGGTAAATACAGAAGAGATTGAGGGCAGCAAACATGCAATACTGGACACAGCATCAGCTGACATAAAGATGACTCATTATAGAAGAACTCAAAACTGAAATACTGATACAAGTAAAGCAAGATATAAGAAGATTAATAAAAGAAATGCTAAGCACTTCTCAAGAAGACACAGATGGAGGAACACAGAAAAAGGAGACAAACTTTTGATGAAGAATATAAAAAAAAAAAACCTAGAAACATGAAACAGACTCAAAGAGATTACCAGGAAATTAAAAATTCCATTTAAAGCTGGCAAAATTTCCTGAAAGAAACTAGAGATAGATTATCAAAACTTGAAGATAGGTTTGCATTGTGTGATACCAAAAGGAAAGATCTCTTAAAAATAACAAGGAAACAGGCAGTAATGATACAAACACTACAAGATGACAAGAGGATCTATAACTTTTTAAAAAAATTTTTTTTTAACTTTCTATTGGTACCAGGGATCAAACTCATGACCACCCGCTTGCAAGGCAGGAGCTTATGCCGCTGAGCTAAATCCCCAGCCCCTAGAGGATCTATAACTTAAGAATGAAAAATGTGAGTGAAGAATCAGTAGTAAACACATATGAAATACAAAGGCTATTTACAGAAATAATTAAGGAAAGCTCCCAAAACATAGGAAAAGGAAATGATAGATGTATGAGGCATGCAGAACTCCAGCCAGTTACAACCAAAACAGACCTACACCCAGACATAATAATCAATATCCCAGAAATTCATCCCAAGAACAGAATATTAAAAATCAGAGAAAAGAAACAAATCATCTATAAAGGAAAACCCATCAAAATCATGACAGACTTCTTGACACAAACCATCAAATCAAGAAGAGCCTGGAGCAAAGTATTCCAAGCCCTGAAAGAAAATAACCTCCAACCCAGATTGATGTACCCTGAAAAACTGTCTCTCAAAATTAATAGAGAAACAAGATGCTTCCATGACAAAGAGGAACTGGGGGAGTTCATGACCACCAATCCAACCCTACAAAAAATACTTAAGCACATTCTAGAGAGAGAGAAAAAAACACCAAGATTTCAAGAATAGTAGCAGAGAGGCCTCAATGAATGGGGCAGACAGTGGAATGAAGAAGAAAAGAAGACAACCAATGGCAGAAAAAAAGCCATAACAGAAATGAGGCAGAGAAGATTGGCTATAATCTCTAACACAGATGGCCTTGATACATTAACAAAAAGAAACACAGGAAGAATAGATCTGGAGATAGGGTCCAATGACATGCTCTGTATAGGAAATATAATTAACCTGAAAGAGGGTTCATGCACTGAAAGTCAAATATGAGAAAACAGTGCTCTATGTGACAGGGAACCAGATAGTAATAGGGGCAGCTCATCTAGCAGCTGCAGATAGGTTGGAAAGACATGACACTTTTGTGCAGTGGAGAACTACTCAGCTATAATGAAGGAAAACCTGGAGGCTTTAGTAGGTAAAGGAATACAACTTAAGATCAAGCCCAGGGGTAAGAAGGTTCAGAACCACTTGGGTAAATAACGGGTTGCCCCTAATCTAAAAACTGAAGGAGTTTGTGGGACCCAAAATGTACATTGCACCCTGTGAAAGTGAAAAGGGAGGAATTGTCTCAAAAAGGAAAGCAGAGGACATTGTTACTAGTGTATCAGGATTTAAAATCCATATTATTCTTGTTGCTCTGTTTAGTTTGATTATATTCTGTTCCAGCCTGTCTACTTGTTCTAGAATTGAGGACACAGACACTTATTTCAAAAATAGCAGTGTATACTACAGTAACCATCCTTAATTTCCTATTAACTTAATTTGAAGCCATGTATAACTTACATTGTCTTACTATGACTGATCTTATTTGAATCTGGTTTGTTAGATCACTGTTTTGTCTTGACTGATTTCATTCGAATCTGTTATGATTGATAGTATCAAGTCTGAGAGTACAGGCAAATACTCTGAAGACAACAAGATTCACTAGGACACCACTCTGGTTTGACTATTACCTGCTTTTGAAATCTTATTAATGCTTCCAATGTTTTGATTTTATTAATATCGTATGTACTGCTATGTTGAATTATACTGTGCCTGATGATATAGATAATTTTATTGAAGGTAACAAGAGACATCATAATAACAATTGTAGATCACCTTGTATTGTGGTTTTATATATTTTTTTGTTTCGTGTTTTTCTAGGAATTTGTTTTGTTTTCCCCTCTAGTACAGAAAGGATAGATATAAATGTAGAGACTCATGCATGCATAGAACTTCTAAGCAGTCTATGAGGGCTGATTATAGAATGCACAATGAAATGCACAACTACTTTGGAGAAAAAGAGACACTAAGCTACCCAGTGCTGATTCTGTAGCATCATGATATGAAATCCAGAAAAACTATTATTCTTTGTTTACAGTGATTTTAGTATGTTTTGTATTGTTTATTTTTTTCAACATACATGAAGGTATGGACAGCTACTTTAAAGAGAATGAGAAACACTATGATGGCCATTGTTGACTTCCTTATTGTCTGGTCTTGAAGACCTAAGATGCCTTCATCATCCTGTTCTGATCAGTTTCATATTATTTGTTGTGTATGAATTCACTGTATGTGAAGATATGGACAAGTATTTGGAAGAAAACAAGAGACAATATGATAGTGAAGATCTCCAGTGTCTTGCTTTGAAATCTGTGTCTCTTACATTGTTTGCTTATGTTCTGTTATGTTTAATTTTACCCTCCTTAAAATAAACTTTTTAAAAAGATTGGATTTATCTTATAAAACATGATTTTTTAAATATACACATTGGGAAATGGCTAAATTTAGCTAATTAGTATTTTCATTATCTCATAAAATTTTCACTTTTGTGTGTGGTGAAGACATTTGGGGTCCCCTCTCTTATCATCTTTTAAGGATATTTTATATTGTTATTAACTACAGTCACTATTTCCTAAGAAATTTGATGCTAGTCTAATCATCTTAGATTCATAGTTCATTTGATTTTTTTAAAAACCTAGCAGACCTGAGAAAACTTTTCTTAATCTCTAATGTCTAGTAGTTTTATTAAGATAAATCATGGAATTGGTTGTTGTGGATCAATTTTTCCTAGTACTTGGTAGGTCCTTTCAAAATGGAAGTATAGATCTTTATTTCAAAAAATTAACTGGCATTATGATTTTAAATAGTCATTCTATTCTATTGTTTAAGTTTTCCTTTCTGAAACTTCAATTATATACTAATTGCTTCATGACCTGAATACTATTTTTCTTTGATCTTTTAAAAAATCAAACTTCTTTCCAGTTACACCTTGATATTATAATGTCAAGTGAGGTAACTCAGACACACAAGCTTAACTGTTACATGGTTTTTCATCATGAAAAACTATATCTTTATCTATCTAGGTAGATAGATATAGATATATGATATGCAACAGATAATAGGAAAAAAGAGAAAAGTTTATAGAAAAAGACATTAAAACTCTCTTTCTCTCTATATATATAAATATGAAAAATACATATATATATGAAAAAAGAGAAAGACCTAAGAGTATTGTAATTCAGTGTGAGTGATGTATCTAAAAATGTACTTTGAGTTTATACAATTTTCTTATGTTTCACATGTTCTTTCACATATTTGTCTTCTTTTCATTACTGTGAAATTTGCAAAAGATGCCTTTCCCATCTTTTTAACATTTATTTCCCTGAAAATGTATTCTTTTACAGTCACCTACACACATGTCATGTATACTTCTGGGTCATTTTCATGAGATCAGCGCTCTTCCTGTGTCTCTAGGCTGCTCTTCTTCCCCCGTGAGTACTTCTGAGTCAATTCTAGGCTCATGGTGAGTTCTCTTCTCTCTTCCATTCATTTTTTTACCAGACAGTTCTTGCAAGAATGGTCAGATGCACTTGTGTCATGTTGCACTTGTGAGAGTTCAGGGGTATTTTGCTATCAATTTTCCAGTTTTACAGGTGATATGAAGTTTTGGATACTCTTTAATAAAGAAATTGTAATGCAGAAGGTGAAAGTTCTACATAATTCTGTTTGTTCTTTTTATTCTGACTCTTCATTGGGAATCATTTTAGAAGTTTTGAATTTTCACCCCTGCCATTGTTTTTGATTTCCAAAGTCCCTCAATTTTTATAGTAATAGATGCTTAATGTATTTTTCACTTAAGCAAAAGTAACTGAAAATAATGTGTGTTTTGAAAAGCAAATGACTTCACTGCGTAGGATGATCCTCAGCAGACAGACCTAGATGCACCATTACATAATAGTACCAGAGAAGGGAGAAGACGCAGAGCTACTCAGATCCAGCTGCCCTTTTGTCTTCTCTGTAAAAGAGACAAATGTGCAGCTGAAAATTCTGGAAACAGATCTTTCCTAGGAGATGACTGAACTCATAGATGGGCAGCGATGTAAAAGGTGCACTGAGATGAACATATTTTAATTTTCAGGTCTGGGCTCAGAGCATTTGCTGATGAGATCCCACAGTGTTGCTGGTGATCTTTGGTGGCATCAAGATGACTGAGACCATTAACAGGAGGATCCAAGTGAGTGAATACTGTTTAAATTTTCACAGACTAAGGTGTGAGTCGTGGAAGGTGATTGTGACAGTTTTGATATTGAGCCTATGTGGGGCAGTAGAATGGGAACTGGAACTATCTGTAGCTATACATTGTCTATTTCTTCAAAGGTGTGCTTCAGCTCTAATATTTACTGATTTTTTTAGTTGATCAATTTGTAAAAGGACACCCACTATGTTTGTGTTGGTCCTTATGCCCGTCAGTATTTATTTTATGATCACAAGTGCTCCAGTATTCAGTGTATATATGTGTGTATACGTATGTATGCTACATACAAATCATATATATCATATAAATATATATGATGTATATTTATGATATATATATGAATGATATGTAAATTATATTAATAACTTCTCTTCCTGTTGAACTGTTCCTTTGACTACTTTGTCAAAAGAAAAGGTGATTTTTTTATCTTTTCTGATCAATTTTCATTTGAAGTTTATTTTTTTGAGAACAAAATTGCTATCTCTGCTTGTTCTCAGGATTTTGATGCATGAAAGTTTTTCATTCTTTGATTTTAATGTATGAATATCCATTTGAATTAAATGAATTTCTTGAATTCAGTAGACTGTTGGATTTTGGTTTTTAATCCAGTCTGCCAGTGTTTCTTTTAATTGGAGAGTTGAGGCCATTAACAGTGAAGGTTATTACTAAAGGAGTGAACTTATGTCTGACATTTCATTCTTTTTCTGTTGATGGCTCTTGTTTTGTTTGTTTCTTTATTTACTGACCTAGTTTGTCTTATTCCTTCTGCCTGAATATTTGGCTTTATTGGCTCTGTTATCTCCATCTAAGACACTCTTGAACATTTTCTGGTGTTTGGGTCTCAGATATGATGTTTGTTACTCCACCTTCTGATTCAATTCATGTTTTCACTTATTACTTATTTATTAGGGTAATTTACTTTAAACCTTGGAAGAATTTCTCACTATAGTTTGCTAGCTAACATTTGCTAGCTAATTCTTGCCTGTAATTCATATTCTTTCTTTGATAACCTTTATAAAAAGTTATAAAATAATATTACAAGCATACAAAGTGAAATGAAAAATAAAATAATGGTGAAGTCCTTGTTTAGGTTTTGAAAACAATTTTAATGGAATAATATATGAGTTAAACTAGGTAAATTTCCCAAGATTTCGTCTTCTAAATTCTGCTTAAGTGTTTTATAATATTTGTGACTTCTCTAAATTCTGAATTTTTTCCTGAAGAAGCTTTCCCAGTATGATCAGCAGGTGGCATTGCTAGCTTGAAGAATCATTTCTTAAATGTTTTCAAATTGGAGACAGATTTTTGAAAGCTTAGTGGTCACCATTTTCACCACAAATGTAACTCATGAAAATTTTAAAAACAAAGCAGATGTAAAAACTTAAAATTATCCACATTTCCAATTAAATTAAGAATTCAGTGTACAGTTACATTTTGTATACATGTTTATAAAATGGAATATATCTTACAAGAGCTTAATAACTAGGCTTTCTAAATGTACTGTAAATATACTATCATGCCATTAAATCTTTGTCAGTAACATGATTTCTTCTGGCTGTATAAACATATCAAAATTCAGGTAACTTTCTGGGTGTGGCGGCTCATGCCTGTAATCCCAACCCTCGGGAGGCTGAGGCAGGAGGATTGTTGGGGGTTTGAGACCAGCCTGGGCTACAAAGTGAGCTCACTGCCAACCTGAACTGCATTGTGAGATGCCGTCTCAAAAAGACAAAAAAAAAAAAAAAAAAAAAAAAAAAAAAAAAAAAATTCAGGTAACTAATGATCTATTAGGGGAATTAGGTTATTCTCAATATTTTATTCTCATAAACAACACTGCCATGAACATCCTTGTTTCTGATTTCCTATATTTTATTGATAGTTTCCTTTAAATCACAGCTCCATGAATTACATATCTATGTCATCACATATAGAGGATTTATGGTGTCTGAATTCCATACCACAAATGCTATCAAGATTAATACTGAGTATCTCATATGCACTCAATTTTTAGGGAGGTACCTAACTGGAATAATTATTTCCCATGTAAACCAGTGGAATTTTTTAAAATAATGGGTATTCACTTAATGACAGAGGTTTTTTTTTTTTTTTTTTTTTGTCTTTTTTGAGATGTGATCTCACTGTGAAGTTCAGGTTGGCCTTGAGCTCATTTTGTAGCCCAGGCTGGTCTCCAACTCCCAACGATCCTCCCATCTCAGCATCCCAAATGCTGGGATTACAGGCGTGAGCCATTATGCCCAGCTAATGACACAGTTTTTAGGAAGAATTGAAATGCTTAAACCAAGGAAAAAATGCATTTACACATCCAAACATCCACACGGGCTGTTATTATTACTATTACAAAATTTTGGGGCAGGAGAAAGTAGAGAGTTTTAAGTTCCTTGCCCAAAGTAAGACAGCCAGGATTTAAAACCATGCAGCAAAAAATATCTATTTGTAGTTTTATTTCCATAACTATACTGGAGAAGGACTTTAAAAAAAAACTTTTTTTTTTTTTTTTTGTCTTTTTCGTTTTTTTATCGGTACCAGGGATCGAACTCACGACTGCCTGATTACAAGGCAGGCACTTATGCCGCTGAGCTAAATCCCCAGCCCCTAAAAAAAACTTGAAGAACTTATTTTCTTTAAAATTGTATAAGATGTTTATGCCAGCCTTTTTTTTTTTTTTGCAGCTCTATGGCTGAGGTGCTCAGTAAGCACTTGCTGTGGGAATTGCTTAGTAACATTTGATGACTGTCCCCTTGGCAAGTGGGGTGATATTATTACAGAAGGTGGTAGAAACAGTGATAACAATGAGGAGCTCTTACAGCTGAGTTTGGCAGGATATCTCCTCGAAAGTCTTATGCAACACAGTAAAATAATAACAGATACAGAGGTGGTAGAACAGACTCAACTTTGAATTCACCCCACACATTCAGTCACCGGAATGATATCCAAAAGGAGTGAAAAATTCTGAAAGACCACCTTCCTGGACTGAGGGACCTGGAAACCAAACAAAAAATTGATGGATATTCTATTTTGCCTCTCTGCTAGTGTGGCCAACAAAAAATACAGGATTTTTCTACTAAGAAAGTGTTGAGGTGGCAGAGTCAGTGTAACTGGTGATAAGAAAGTTACTCATGACATCAAAAGATTGGTTTGCATAGCTCAAGTTCATACCTTACTTGCAATGCTCTGTGACATCTGGAATCAAGTAATTCTCACTTCCAGTTGATTGGTTTTTTGTGATCACATTCCTCTTGGAGATTTGGTTCATGAACGTAACACAACTCAGTTCCTTGTTCACCTCTCCCCCAACTCCTGCTCATTTTCCCATTTGCAAAATAACTTTCTCTCTACTTACTATTATCTTATATTTGTGTACTTGTTTATATTTTAGGTTTCTCACGTAGAGAAACACATGATATTTAAGTCTGCATGACTTTATATGACACAGATTTTATTTTTTTGAGGCAATGTCTTGCTATGTGGTTTAGGCTAGCTTTAAACCCAGTGTGTAGCCCAGGTTGACCTCATGCTTGCAGTGATCCTCCTGCCTCAACCTCCTGAGTGCTAGGATTACAGGTATGCACCACTATACTTGGCTCACTCCACAGATTTTTTTATGGAGGCTTTTATACAACAGTTTGAATCTTAAATGTCTCCCAAAGTCCATATACTACAGGGTCAGTAGCTGCTAGCCTGTGGCTCTGTTGGGGGAATCCTTATGTGTTGGGGCCTAGTTGAGAGAAGTCAGGTGATATGCCCGTGAGAAGGGTATTGGGACTCTAGGCCCTTCTTGACTCTCTGTGCCTTGGCTATGTGACTAGACTCCCTTCATCCAAACTCCTGACTTGACTTACTATGCTACTGTAGCCCCAAACTAATGAGGCCTAATGACCATGAATTTAAAACTGGGAAACCCCCAGCCAAAAAGAAAACCTTTTCTCTTGTAAGTGGATTATCTTGGGTATTTTTGTCCCAGCAACAGAAATCTGACTATTATACCACTGAACTAGTCAGTATGAAGATCTATAATTTCAGCTAGAGAGGTGTAGCCTGAGTACTGACCATTAACCTGAAGTTCTTCTGATCTAAGGAACAGTGTACATGGGCATGATATGGATGCCAGGGATGATCACACACATTGCGTATTCCAGGTGGCATGAACTTTCGGATTAAAATAAGTCTCTGTGTGATGGATGCTATAATACAAAATGGACCCAAAGCTTTTATAATCTTAACAATAATGAAAATGCCATAGGAGGAGGCAAAACCAAAATAAGTCAGGTGACTTTCAGTGGCTCAAAACTTAGGTCTGCCTCACTAAATCTCAAGATTTATGTCATATTAAATATCAAGCAACAGTGGAGAAAATCCTGCACTTAACCCATGACCTTTTATAACTGGAACCTTCAGTAGAAAATTTTCAATATGCAAAGCCTTATTGACCATACCTACTCTTTATCCTTCTTGAAACAGAAAATATTTTATTCAATAGAAAAATTAATTAAAATTCAACAAAGCTGGACATAGATGTGAAATTTATTTAGAAATGTCTTTATTCACAAATTCTACTTGGAAAACATTTTAAAATTACTTATAATCATATAGGATAATGTAGGATATCAAAAAAGCAGAAAGAAAAAAAATTCAGTTGTAACTGTACCTCTGAGAGAAAATTCTTAACATTTTTGTGTATTTTACCTCTCACTGTATGGGTGTACACAAAAACCATACTGTTAAAGCAAATTTTATTCTTATATTTTAAGAACTTAATAATGACTCAAAATCTAGTATTCTTAAATTCTTTTTTTTTAAATTGGTACAGGGAATCAAACTCACAACCTCACATTTACCAGGCAAGTGCTTGAGCCGCTGAGCTAAATCCCCTGCCTTGATATTCTTAAATTCTGAAAAAAAAAATGTTTTAAACTTACATAATGTTAAAGTCTATGATTTCAAAGGATCTCCTCTTGGGGCCTGTAGGTCATTTTTATTTTTTATGATTTCAGTTATTGAGTAGAAGGTGTGATAGAAAGATGCGGTAAATGTTTAAATAAAAAAAACTTGTAAAAGAGATTTCCATTAATTTCCTTCAAAATATTCTCCCTCTTTTTGACCACACTTATGCCGGCATCCTTGCCACTCTCCACAGCGGCTCTGGAAGTCCTCCCTGTGTCTTTAATTGTGCTGTCCTGGCTGCCTCAATGACCTGACTGGATTCAAAACATGTACCTTTCGGGTCATTTTGAATTGGGGGAAGAGCCAGAAGTCGCATGGTGCCAAATCCGGTGATTGAACGTACACCATGGTGTTTTTATAAGCCTGTCTTTCCTTTGGATGGCACTGGGCAGCAGGATTCACGGTATTTTTAAAATCACACTTCATATCTACACTCAAGAAAAGGACTTCAGGAACTGCAGCAGAAAGTGGTGGGAACAGTGAGACCCTGGTAAGTGTGTCTGAAGTGAAGGAGGACATTTCAATGAATGGCACTGTGGCAGTGGTTTTTAATTTAATCATTTGCTGTGCATTTTGATTACCCTTGCTGTATACGGGTACGAATCGCTTTTATGTCTCTGTGCTGGATAGAGTCTTGAATGTGGGATTAGTTGGTTCAAGTGTATTTTATTTGTGAAGCTCTTGGTAAAAATTTCTAATTGATTTATATGATCTTCATATGAGAATCAAAGTTTCAATGTATGCCATCAATGGCAATAGTGATCCTTAGAAAATTTAATTTTCCAGCTTTAAAGGCAAATGATGGTACATTTTATGCTGTCCAGGCTCTGTGTCGTCCAAATCAGCAGCTCTGATTTGCGGATAGTAAAGGAGGAATTCTCTCTGGGATGACTGCAATTTGTAAAGCAAGCAAGCAACCATGGTCTGTCTCAATGCATTATCTTAAAAAACTGTGCCTACATTTTAATGGCGCCAATCCCTCAATCACACAAGATCCACTTTCTACTATTCCCATCTAATACTCTTCTACTACACTGTCTTTCTAGCCCTTAGACAATGTCGTATTTCCAGACTATCCACCAGGTAGATCAAAAAACAGGAGGTCAGCACTTGGGTTAGAAGAATAGTACAATATTTGCCTACAGTTTGCTGATTAGAAACAAGAAACCACTTATCTGTGCATTTGGTTTAATTTCTTTTGTAAGAAAAAATTTAATAATGTTAGAAATTAAAGACATTCTTACACTTACCAATAGCTAATTAGTAATAGGCTTCTTTTACCTTATTATTCCCAAACTAGCGGGGTACAAGCAAATGGGAATTGCTTTTGTCTCCTGGTATCACTAAGTGAATGATAATTCTAATAAAGTCTGTGCATGTGCAGCTTTCTGTTCTATGACCGAATACTTGGCTTACACAACTTGACTTTGGCTTATGTTTTCCCAGGTTTCAGTCCATGGTTAACAGCTCCAAGGTTCAGACATCTGGGAAGAAGGTCATGATGGAGGGAAGCCGCTCACCTCAGTGCAACTAAGAAGCAGAGAGGGTTGGAAGGAGCTAGGGGGAGTGGAAGGGACTAGGGACAAGAATACCTTTCTACATTACACAGTCAGTGCCCTGATTCTACAGTAAGTCAGCTATGAACTCATCAGTAAGTTAAACCAGTGATGAAGCTGACACTCCTGTTCTCCAAGCACTTTGCAAAGCCCCACTTCTGAGAGCATGTTTAATCCAAACCATAACACTTTGTTTCTTATATTTATGGCTTCTATTTCTTTGAATATTGATGAGTTTTAGAATTTTCAGAATATTAGGAATTTGTAATTCTGAATTGTCCTGTCTTTGAATTTTCTGTTGAAATAACTGTTTCTGTTTTACTAGTGTATGCAGACTCTTTGTGCACTGTAATCATTTGTAAATCCTGCACCAAATATTTATCTTTAGATTTTGTAAGGTGGTAAGAGTGGTTCTACCTTATTTCTGAAGTTTATCTATAAATTTTATTTGTATAAGATTTTTGGGCATTTTCTGACTGCTATCTTTCTTTACAGGGAGAAAAAGCATTGCAATCCTATTGATGACTTTAGGAATACATAATGTATCTCATGTCTCTGGGCTATCACATGCCCCATTTATTTTTTTCCCGAAATTCTATTTTTAAACTTACCATAGTTACATATTCTTCAGTAAAGTGATATTGACGTGATTACCTGGATACATTTTATAATAAGATACCATTTTCAGTGATAAAGTGTGCAAGAAAATGTCTAAGATAGTTTTGCACAATAAACTTTGATTGCTGATATATGTCATAGTTAAACGTTGCTCAGGTGCATGAGGAGTGAGAAGCCCGTTGCCTGTGAGCGAGGCAGGGGACTGTATTTTGGATTGTGCCACCAGGTGGCCTTTTGCATGACGCAGAATGGTCTCCACCAGTCACAAATTACATCTGCTGTGCCTCTATTTGTTAGACAATCTGGCACCAGGAACAGCTGAGAAGAAAGACTTGAAAACATCTTGCTTGATGGATGTGCCTAGATTTATCACTAAGTCCAAATAAAATGTTAAATGCTATCAAGATTCACAAATCAGGCATGTCTCTCTTTGAGCCATGACAAGGTCTTGTTAAAGCTTTTGTGACAGCCACGTGTGAGAGATACAATTGGATTGTATTCAACAGAATTTAATGCTGATTATAGCATACAGTTGATTAGTGTACATTTTTAATCTGACTGAGATATGAGGTAGACCAGAGGTCTAGCATTTATATCATGATGATGAAATTTTTTGGAGCTAGGTTTTTCAACCAGGTAAGAGGAATGTAGTATTAATTAAGCAAGAAGAAAGCGATTGATAGCAAGGAATACATTGTAAGGTCACCTGTAATTGATAAGATCTGTGTATGGGTAGCAAAGGGCCAATTATGGCAGGCATAAATAACACAGGGTAGACAAGAATCAACTACTAGGGCTTTACTTTGGGGCAATACTCACACTGGGTGTTTATGGATCATGAAAAGAAATATTTACACTTTTACATTTATAAAACCTCTAAATGCCATGGAGCAGTGCAGATATAAACATTTAAGAAATTCCATACTTATTGTATCACCTGTTACCATTTAATACAACTCTGTCTAATTTAGGCTGATGAAGAAATTTCCAGAATGGCATGAAGTTCATAAAGTCAACCAGAAAACGTGAATAGGAAGCAAAAGTCGGATTCTAATGCCATCTTGTTATCAGCACCACAACCATGTACCCTGCTGATGCATGGTGGTAGGTGAATTTCAAAGTGTTTCTCTGCTCTTGCTGATGCATTCAGGACTCAAAGTCCTGGTCAGAAATATCTGATCGGCTGATTCTGGTCTTACGCCCACACAGGGCCTGGCTTTGGCCACAAGCAACAGAGCATTTGGAGCCTTCCATGCCATTAATAACAGACAGCACCTTAGTTCAGAGCAAATCCCTAACTATAGAAAGAAGGAGAGTCTGAAATAGAGTTTTGAAAAAAATTCAAAATTGTGTACACTTACTTACATAATAAACTCATGTTCATTTATGATAATTCTTTTTTAAAAATATTTTTCTTGAAGTCTGATTCTTTTTTCCAATTTTGACGAAAGAATATCTTCTCCCAACTCAGATGAAAAAGATAATATGATATATTTTTAGAAGTAGAGTGCTCAGACTCCTGAATGTTTCCCCATATCTTGCTTGTATCATACAATGAAGTTTAAGCTCTAGAACTTCGATCTAGGAGCCCTACTGGGTAAAGAATTAGGTGGGTCCATGGGCAATCCTAGCAGGTAAATCTTTCTGGAGAGGGTTTCATCAGTAACTCTCAACACTTACACAGCAGATTCTATAGATGCACACCAGGGCCCCATTTCTAATGTTGTCCCCTACGGTCATGGGTAGCACTATGAAAATTAGGGGCCTGAGTCCTAAGAAAAGTTGTCTAATGTCATCCTTAGCTGTAGCCTCTGAATTTACAAAGTCATCTATGGCTCAGACCTCCCAGAATAGCTACTCTAGAATCTGCTGGATTCCTATGGGGAGCTACAACCTAAGTCTGGCTATCAGCAGCTGCCAAATGTCCCAAACTGGAGGACTTTTCAGGGATCCAACGATCTGTTTCCAATTCAAGTGTGAGACCATATAAACTATGGAATTTATGATGTTCATAGTGTCTTCTTAAACTTTGGAAGGTTCTGCTTTCTAAGGCAAGTGATTTGCACATCCACCTTTAATTAACCCACTTTATACAGATCCCATTTGCCCTATAACTAATGGAAATTCTAACATTTGAATGTTTCTCTAGTTTCCTTCTGCAAATGTAGTTGTTTCACCATTTTCTGAGTGATTTCATTAGTTACTAAGGAAGAAAACAGTAGATATCTCTAGTCAAATACCATTTTTCCCAGAGGCAAAGTGATCTCCACTTGATCTACTTCTTCCTTTAAATCCTGTATTATTACTTTCTCTTGGCATTCATAGAAAGGTACAAGGTTAAAAACAAATCAAGAAAGAAAAATCTCTTTTATCCTCACATCTTGCAAGGGCTACTTCTTCCTACCCTTGCATCTATCTAATGTGGCTCAGCTACCATCCTGCGCTCCCCAGTAATCATCCCAGACTCTCTTTCCGTTGCTTGACTTCCATGGTGCCCATATTGTGTTCCCCAGATGTCCTCAGCATATGTCTCCAACACTTACTGCACTGTTTCCTGATTGTTGATATCATCACCTACTTTCCTAGCCACACCCCAAGTTCCCTGATAAAGACTTACCCATCACTGTAATTCAAGTTTGGTTAATTGAACTGATACATGTGTTTTGGAAAAAGAGTTAGAAAAGAAAAAAAGTTATTCTTAGGACATCTAAATTTTTCCTAAGTTGGTAACTCTAAGATCTTTTGTGCTTTTGTTCAAACAGTTTGGGAGGATCAAAGTGAAGAATAAAGAAAGAACTAAATTACAGAGTTGACAATCATTTTTGGTTTTGCTGTCTTAAAAAGCATGATGCATGTGTTAGAGATTAACTTGCTGATCTTAAATAATTACCAATAAAAACAATGGCATAAACATATCTTTGGATAATAGTTTCTATGTAATACCCAATTCTTGGTAATAACTGCAGTATTCTTCATTGGTAGAAAAATGAATTGTTCACTGTGCAAATGCCACCCATTTGCCTCACAGATTTTAAACAATATACAATCTTATCTTTTATGGCTCTCAGCTGCACACTGCTTGGGAGATAGTTTAGATATGAGCCAACTTTTTATATCTAACAAATGCCCAGTAAAGACATTTAGAATTCCAGTTGTACTGAATTTGCCCCCTTTCCGGAGGGTATATAAATGAATAAATACAAGAAAATCCCCTCCCATGGAGCGCGGGCACACACACGCAATCTGCAGAACAGCTGTGTTGCATTGTAAGTTGGAGGACTTTTGTTAGTTCAGATGTTTCAGGTCTCAAAGGCACTCTGGAGAAGAAATAAATATTATGAGTAAGTCTCGTTTCCATGCTTGTAGCAGGGAAACACTTACCAGCACAGTTTACTACAGTTTTATACTAAAACAATCTCATAAAATGATACCAGCATTACTCACTCAGCACATGACTGCAAAGACAAGCTGATGTCTGTTTTATTCCCCAAATATCCAAACCATGATTTCATTCAGACTTTCTTCCAGATGGACCTTCTTTTGGGTAAAAATAATGGAAATAATCTGAATTCTATGATCTCTTGATCTATTCTTTTTTTTAAGTATTCATTTTATTCACTTTATCAAATATTGGCAATTTATAAAAGTGAAAGGGTAATTGAGATCAGAAATAAACACTTGAATTGTCCAAAGAAAGCCAGGTTAAGGCCGGGTGGAAATTCAAGTTGGAATCAAGCTCATTCCATTTAAGGATGTGTTGTGCTATTAAAGTTCAGAGTTTGAAGTTTGAAAAACCTGAAATGAGAAAAGTAGCGTCAGGGATATGAATCAGCAGCACAGCGTCTGCCTGGTAAGTGTGAGGCTGTGAGTTTGATTCCTGGCACAGAGAGACAGAGAGACAGAGACAGAGAGACAGAGAGAAAGAGAGACAGAGAGAGAGATACAGAGAGACAGAGAGAGACAGAGAGGGAGACAGAAAGACAGAAAGACAGAGAGGGAGACAGACAGAGAGACAGAAAGACAGACAGAGAGAGAGATACAGAGAGACAGAGAGACAGAAAGAGAGAGACAGAGACAGAGAGGGAAACAGAGAAAGACAGAGAGAGACAGAGAGACAGACAGAGAGACAGAGAGACAAGAGAGAGAATGAGGAAAGCATGTTGTGGATAAATTTATTAATTTATAAGAAAAGACTCAATAATCAAAATACTACATTTCTGTGCAATTAATGTATTGTGAGAAACCAATTTGTAAAAGAAGATTTTAGTGAATACAGGTCAGAACAAGGTGAAAGAGGGAAATTTATTTTTAATGGCAGTAGCATTAGACAGATACATGTGTCTCCCTGTGAGACCTGGTGAAAAGGATTAAAAAGTACTTCGCTTTGCTCTTCTCAAAGCCTGGGACATTCTTGTCCCCTCCTTCACTAACTTTCACTAATCCATTTAATCTTAGCTTAATTATCACTTTGTTAGAGAGAACCTTTTTGATTTTCTTTTCTAAGAAAAGATCCTCGCTGTGTACTCCAGAACACCCACTAGGTTATCTTTATAATACTCACCACACTGGGTGCTCCTTTGTGGCTTTGGACTCTGTCAACTGGTACCCTGGGAGCCCCAGGAGAGAAGGTATCATATTCGTTTTGGGCACCACTGGGTTCCTAGTGCCTGTCACATCTACAAGCATTCAGAACATATTTGTTGAATGTCTAAATGAGTGCTTGGACAGTAAATAAAAGCACGGGTATTGGATTCAGTTGTCCTTCACTGAAATCTTGGCTCTGCTTCTTAATGACTATGGGAGCTTGAACGTATTATAACACTAGTCATCTTATCTGTAAAGTGAAGATCCATGATAGCTCCTCATTTACAGCACTGTAACAAGGATAAAATACATTCGTAGATGTAAAATACTTACAAAAATTACTGGCACAGAATAAACACACAAGTGGAGTTAGTTGTTAGTACCATCTTGCAAAAGATAGTTTTAATAAATATTAAAAGCCTAATGCTGAAACTCCATTTCCCTGTAATACTACTGACATGGGTACTGTCAGTACTAACCTCTGAAGATACTCGTGTGTATTTTTGTGATTTAGCAGAATCAATTTTTTTATTACAAAATATTTTAAATTGAATATGTGAATATTTTAAAATGGGTTATACACAAGCCCTTCTAGCCTGGAATTCATTTTGACATTTTTTCCTATTATTTTATATCTATGTATTGATCCATTATGCAAGCATTCCAAAACTTAATTCTGATGGCTACTGATTTTCTTTATTTCCAAGTTCTTGGGAGGTTCGTTTCTATAACATACAATTGTGGATAGCAGTCAAGGTGAAAATCTTATAAAATTTAGAAAATATATAATAACCATTCCACAATTCTTAACAACAGAGGTAATTATTATATTTGTTTTATATTATTTTAAAGGTTTTACTGATAAACAGTATGGGGAAAACACCTTGTTTAACAGTTATGTGTATTATATTGTATATGCATTATATTGTAAAGAAGGAATTTACATGGTTCACTGTGTCTCTGATTCATTCATTAATTTGCCATTTATCAAGTGCCTTACAAGTGCTAGGCATTAAACTAGGTTCATGATACTTTGGGGCTTTGAACTAAAAAATGTTACAAATACAATTCTGCATTTGATATTTTGATCACCAAAAATTTTATAAATAATTATCTTATTGATGTCTTATTTTTAGTGATAAAATATTAACAAAAATAATCCATTAAAATGTATTGCTAAAACAAGAAAAATAAGGCAACCATCTTTTCCTTACTTATTTAGTCGTTAACTGTAGCTGGCATTTAAAGTGCTTATTATCTTGCAAAACTAAACATTTTTTACTTGAAATTATGATATTTATGTCAAAAACTTTATTTTTATAGTTATTAGCTTATAGTTATTAATATATAATATTTTATTTCTGTCTTCAAACATTTGAGCCTTAATTTTTCATCTTCCCCCTGCTTGATGCTTCTATGTTCTTATCGTATAACACATGAACACTTTCGGTTCTTTTTTCTTCCTGTAATACAAGCTTTAGCATGACTATTCTACAAGCTGATCCAGTGCACTAACCTTCAGAATTGGAAAACACTGAAATATCTTGTGCAAGTACACAATCTGTTGCTCAATTTCTCCAGCCCCATCCCCTCAAACCCACAAGAAACCTCTACAATTTTTACACTTGCATTACTTAGACAGACATATTAGAAATATTTCACAATGATAGCGAATTTGTCACTTCCTAATAGTAATTTCTATAAGTGTTTGCTCTCTATATGTGTGTATATATATATAGATACATATGCACTGTATTATTAAGAACATATACATGAATAGGTCAAGCATACAAAAGATATTAGGGAAACAAGATGTGTAGCTATAAACCACATTTATAGTTTCCTTCTCCTTTATGTGCTCATGGAAGACTCTAGCAATCAAATATGCCACTTAGCTTTGGCCTTAAAGTTGCTCTGGCGTGTGTTCTGACACAGTGTTCTGAACAGTTATCTTACGTTGTCACTCGAGGTATTTCTTTGCCTTTCCATGACTCACCACCATCATAGCACCCTAAAGAATAGAAGGTATTAAAAGGGTGTGTTTTCAGGACAATGGGAGGAGTAAAATATTTAACAGGCAATATAGGAATAATTCATACTTTAAAAAAACGATTCTATATTTCTACTTTCCTTTATGTACTAAAAATAATCTGGATTTGCTGGAAATTTCAGTGTTAAAAATTAACTCCTACATTATCTAGAAGAAGATAGAGGTGATTGTCACGCTTTATGGGAATCCAGAGAGCTTTCATCGACATAAAAGCACGGGTCAGGGAGAAGGCAGGAGGAAAGTGTATGCCAGATTATGTTCCATCAAAGTTAAGAAACGTTTTAGTCATAAAACATAGTATACATTAAAAGAAAACACATATCCTGGAGAGTGTAGGCAAATTCACAAGATTAAGGAAAGAAGTACAAATGACAATAACAAAAGTCACAAAAGATTAAATTTCACATTAATTGTAAAATAACACAAAATACCTTTTTGTCACCCCTCATAGGTCAAAAAAGATAATGTGATAGAAGGCAGATTGATGAAAATATTTGGAAGGAATTCTGAAAGCAGATTAAATCCTTCATAGAAATTCATAGACACTGACTTGTGTTCTATTGCTATTTTATGTGAAGGCCATAATCAAAGGACAGCATAAAAATGAATGAGATACAGATATTTCATTTGTAATATAAATTGAAAAAGCCAAAAAGAGTGAATGATTACACAGATTATAGCATACTTATATACTGGAATAAAATTTATAATAGTCACTGATGGCATATATGTACACAAAAACCATTTGCAGGGAACTTAAGTTATATTCAGTGTAAATTTTCAGTATATAACATAAATGCAGGTGAGAACTTAATGAATGAATATAGTAATAATATCCACTTCCTGTTTTGACAATACTGATAAATAATTTTTGTTCTTATTTGTCATCCCTTATAGCTGTATTCATTTTTTCTTTTGACGATGAAAAAGATTTTTTGCAAGAAAATGTGAAAGAACAAAGTACCTAAAATTCATATCAATTTGTTACAGTTTCTGAATATGTCCTAATCTAGAGAGATACAACCAACCTAGTTTAATCTGCTAAAGAAACATCTCAAAGTTTCTTTTAAAGACAGAAATCTACAAAACATATCTTCTTGTGTATACATAGTATATTTATATATATTTTTGTTTGTTTGTCTTTTTGAGACAGGGTTTCGCTATGCAGTTCAGGCTGGCCTTGAACTCACTTCGTAGCTCAAGATGACCTTAATCTCAAAGCGATCCTCCTGCCTCAGCCTCCTGAGTACTGGGATTATAGGCATGCACCACCATACCTGGTTGGGTATGTATTTTAATAATGTGTAAAAGACTACAAATCACAACTCAGAAAGTCCAGGATTTTCCCTAGTCAGCACAGTTTCGTCTTGTTCTTACCCCGAGCTAACCTAAAGCAACCTCTAGCCTGGTCCAGGGCCCACACACCCAGACTTGGAGCAAGGACCAGGAGCATACTTGGCTTGCTGACCCTAATCCTGTTGATTGCTAGCACATTACAAAAGCAAGTCTTATCTGCGGGTTTATATTTTTATTAAGTTAAATCTCTTGAGAGCATCAGAGTTATGCCTAGACCACATCTATTTATCCTTGCCTCAGCTCAGAGATTGTTGTAAAAATAGACTATAAATAAATTGAGCACGTCATACTGATTCAGTTGTTTAGTGTAATTCTCATCATGCTATTTTGTACTGCTGAGCCACAGAACTGCTGAGGAGCTAAAGTAAAGTTGTAAATTCTCTTTACCTGAAGTTGTAAACTTTTCAAAATTGAAAATTCTTTCTGGATAGCCTTACATTATATTACACACTTCTGATCCCTTATTAGACAAACACGCTCAGTAAGTGCGCTGCACTACTAACAAGCAATTGGTCATGTAGAGAAGCAGTTTCCTAATCTGTGTGTGCAAACAGCAGAAATTGCTAGGTAAGGAGAATGGGGAGCTAAATGTATTTGTTTCTTTTAATCACTTGACAAGAAAAGGGGCTAACAATTTTGGAAAGCAGTTTTCAAAGCTACTTTAAATTCAGTTTTGACCAAATATATTCTGCTTTCATTTTCTGAAATAAAGAATCCAAAAATCAAATTAAACTGAAATTAACATAGAGATCTCCCAAGGACTTTTCATAATCTTTTTCCTTCTTTGTCTTTCTCTGTCTCTCTGTCTCTCTGTCTCTCTGTCTCTCTCTCTCTCTTTCTTTCTCTGTCTCTGTCTCTGTCTCTGTCTCTCTCTCTCTCTCTCTCTCTCTCTCTCTCTCTCTCTTCTCTGTTTCTCTCTCTCTCTCCCCACTTCTTTCAACTTTCTTTTAAGGTCCTGTTAACTCTTCTGTGAAGATATGGCACCATGCTGATTCCTCCTCTCTCGGGGAACTTTCTTTCCCCTCCTCCCACAAGAATGGAAGCACCTGGATTTCCTTCAGTTTCCTTGGCAATTATTGCTCATTGTTCTTTGCGTCGTCACTAACTTGCCCTTCTCCCTTAATCCAACCTCAAAAGCAGGCATTACTGAAGCCTCTGTCTTCATAAACAACAGCAACCTACAGAAAAATCCCACATTTATTTTAAAGTCCACACTCTCTTTCCAATCTCACCTGCTGACCGACAGTTTGGTGAGGATGTCAAATAGACACCTCAAACTTAGCACACAAATCCAAAATCAAGAATATGAACGTTAACCTCCTTAACCTTTATTTTGTTATCCAGCCTTCTGTCTGTTGGTGAAACACACCAGACAGGTTAAGCAATCCAAATACCTGGGCATAATTTTTTCTTCCTCTTTCAGTCTCACCAAATCCTATTGCTGTAACATTCCAGAGGCGAACGGTTGTCTTTTTATAACCTAATCTTGAAAGTGGCCTATCAGCATTTCTGTACTATGTTCCTTAGAAGTGAGTCTTTAAATCCAGTTTGCACTCCAGGGAAATGGATTGCATGAGAAGGCTCCCCTTTGGGGCCATTATAGAGGCTCCTATGCATTCAGCCGTTAGGGCATCCTTGGCAAAGAGTTCTCACTCTTCTGCTGTGCTCCAAGCCTTGCCAAGACCTTGTCTCCTCACAAAGTCATATAGCCTGGCAGCTGAGGTTGACAATGTTTCTTTTGGATTCCAGGCCCTGGCTCAGAGCCTAACAATGATTTGCTGAGCTGAATTGAATTGTATAACTCTCAGCAGCAGTTAGAATACACAGTGTTGTACGATATACAATGGTGATGGTTAGGACTAAACTAAGAAGCAGACTCATTATATGGATGCCTCTTTTGAAGATACGATAGTTCAGTATTTTACTATTTTTCCACAGTGTTCTAAAAGCACATCCAACGTTTTCAGAGATTACCCAGTAGGAGTGTGGAACACTATGTATTATAACAGAAAAGGAGGAAGGAGGCAGGCAGAGAAAAATAGAGATGGATCTTGATAAGGGCTCAGATGATGATTTCCAGGCTGCTCTGCATCTTTCCATAATACTTTAGAAAATTCTGGATGAGGTTAAGGATAGGAAGGCAAAAGAAGAGAAGTTAGCGAAATAGGGTTTCAGGGGACTCCTGTGCTGTGTATCAGTTGTATTACACAAGGAACTAAGCAAGGGAATCTCCTAGCACGGCCCTCAGGATTCCGAACGATACAGACTAAGGGAAGCATAAATAATATTCACATTTTTCCTGTCATATACATGTGATTTCTTAGCATTTTTTCCTAGGGAGCTGGGTTAAAAATATAATTTCCTTTTTCTCTACCAAAGGCATAAACTTTAACTATGTAGCACTATGCAACCCCAGGCCTTCTTTGTCCCTGTTGACCCTTCATCCTCTCCAGACATTCATTTCCTAAGCTGTGAAACCCAATTCTGTGTCACACAACGCAAGTCTAAGAGGAAAGAAAAAATGTAGCGTGAGACAGCAAGTCAAGAAACATCCCTTTCAATGATTTCACTTCTCTATCAAATGGACTCATCTCCAAGGCCTAAAATTCTTATGGAGAAAGGAAGATATGGATTCATTTACACAGTATCTAATTATAGAGTAGCTATTTAGGGCATTAGAGGGTTCTTTAGACAGGGGAATCAGAGATAAAGGTACTACAACCAGCCTTCAGTAATTTTACATGTGTGTGCAGGTAAGATCTCCGTTATAGAGTGTGTTGTGGCCTGAGACAGGGGGCGTAGAGTAGGAGCTCCCAGTGACAGCAGAGAAGGGGACGTCCTACTAGGACTGAAGTCCAAACTGAGACTTCAGGAAAGAGAACGAGGAAGAATATTGTGGGGGAGAAGTTATTGGCTAAACATAAAAAGAGAGGGACATCCCAATAGAAAGCAAAGCTTAGTAAAGTTCAGACAGAGCATGATTTCAAGGAACTACAATTTTATCTAGAAGGAAAAGTGGGGAAAAGGAAGATCAAAAAAGATAGACAAGCAGAGGCTTGCCAAGGGAAGGAATGCAGAGTTATCCAACAAATCATGGCAATCGCAAACACTCCAAGCATAATGACATAACCAAATTTACACATTACCTGGAGCTTTTTGATACCGTGGGGAGAAAGGATTGGCAGGAAAACCCACTAGGAAGTAACCCCTGATACTGAGGCCAGGTGGGAGAGCAAGTTCATGCAAAAAGACTTAGTCGATATCGTATATGTTCAGGCAAACTCAAACAAGAAATATGCAGAGATACTTATAGGCTTACCAAGACTTTTTTAAAATTTGACTTTTGACAATTATGTTTAGCCAGAACATGTTAAAACATTCATAGTCAAATGTATTCATTCTGGTGTAACTTGTCTGTTTTATGTTACATGGTAGCCTTTCCAAACCATAAGGTTTTATACACATTGTATGAAATGTTTTATATATTTGTTTTAGTTGATAACAATTGCCTATGTGTGTGTGACACAATGTGATATTTCGATCTATGCATGCATTGTGGAAAGGTTCAACTGAGCAAGTTAACATCTTCATCACCTTATCAGTATACCAGTTTTTGTGGTAGAAAGTTGAAAACCTGATCTCTTTGTAGATTAAAAATAGATGTTAGGATTTACTGTGGCCATATACAAGTACAGCTTATGGTTAAAATGTATTCCTCCTGTCCAGCTGAAATTTTGCACCCTCTCCTCCTGCCCCTGCCTCTGATAAGCCATCTTTCTTCTGTTTCTATAATCTTGACTTTTAAAGATTCCACGTATAAGCGAGATCATACAGTATTTGAATTTCTGTTTGTGTCTTATATCACTTAGCATAATGCCCACTACATATAACCATGTTTCTGTGAAGGGCAAAATTTCCTCCTTTTTAAGATTATATAGTATTCCATTTTCTTTATCCATTGATGGAAACTTAGGTTGCTTCTGTATCTTGATTATTGTGAATAATGCTAGAATTCATATGGAAATGTAGATAGATCTTGGGAATGTCAGTGTCAGTTCCTTTGGATGTGTGCCCAGAAGTGGTTTGTACTTTTAGTTTTTTTGAGGAAAATGTCTAAAATTTACATTATTACCAACACTATTTAATAGTTTCCCTTTCTTTACATCCTCATCAATATTTGTTAACCTTAGTCTTTTTGGTAATAGCCTTTTGAATAGTAGTAATATCTGACTGTAGTTGTAATCTGTATTTCCCTGGAGGGAGGCGTTAAACACTATTGGGGGGGGGAGACTAGGGATCAACCTCACACACTTTTCTTATAGAAGCTGAAATTTTATCTTTTTTTTTGTAAGATGTTTCTTCAGAATATTTGTTCCTTTTATAATTGGTTTTCTTCTTGCTGTATTGAGTTGTCTGAGTTCCTTATATATTTTGGATATTAGCCTTTTATCAAATATATTGCTCGCAAATATTCTCTCCCACTGTCTAGCTTGTCTCTTTACTCTATGATGTTCAGAAACTGTTTAGTTTGATGTAATTTTATGTTTATTTTTCTTGCACTTTTTGTGATTTTGGAGTGCTATCCAAGAACTCACTGTCCCAATCTTTTTCTTGTCTTTTTAAGACAGGGCTTCACTGTGTAGTTCGGGTAGGCTTTTGACTCAGTTTTTATCCTAGGCTGGTCTCAGATTTGCAGAGATCATCTTGCCTCAGCCTTCATGGTGCTGGAATTATAGGCTTGCACTACCACACCTGGCTTGTCTAGTAATTTTAGAATTTCAAGTCTTACGGTTGATTCCCTTATCAATTTTGAGTTAATTTTTTGTATATGGTACGAGATGAGGGTCCATTTACATTCTTCTGCATGTGAATATGTGGTTTTTTCACCAGCCCTGTTCTTTTCTCATTGTGTTTCTTGGCACCTTTGCTTCCGATGCATTATTTGATCTCTGTGAATTTAGTTTCTTGTTTCTTTCTTTACTGCTCTCTGACACTTCACTTTATCAGGATCATAAGTGCTCGTACATTGTTAACTCAGTGAAAACTTTTCTGCTCCCTATTTGACCACTCAGCAGTATTCTCCATACTCCTGCGATGGCCGGCTCCTTCTGGACTTCTCCTAACTATTATAACCTATGTTATTTTTTTCCTCTCACTAGCTCCTCTTTTTCAGTCTTTTCTTCTAGTCCATAGTTTTTTATTGACTCTTAAAAATTAGGATGTACTTTGGCTCAGTTCTAGGCCCTCTGTTTTAACCCTCTCCACTCAGGTTATATCACACACTTTCACAGTGTCAGTTGCAGTCTAAATTCCCATGACTTTTCATTTCTTTTAAAACAAAGTTCTTATGGAAATGCAGGAGATGGTAAATGGTGTCCTTTCCCTGACTGTAATTTAAACCTCTAGTTCTGTACTCAGAAGCACTAACATCCCTTCCTTTCTGTCGCATCACGGCATTCCTTCGTGTTCCTGGGAACTTGGGCACTTTTCTCCTGCCATGTGTTCAAGTGTACTACAAATCCTCCTTTAACTTGGTTGTCTGACCCTTACTTATTCTGTAGGACAAGCCACTTCATCAGAGAAGCACTTGAATACTCAGATTAGGTCAGGTTCATTTTTTATATAAGTTCATAGTACTATATATTTCTCCAGAGAATCAATTAGTTAATTATTTGTGGAATTAACATTTATTTCCTTACTGGTCAGTAAGACCCATAGATTTATACTATTTGTTGCCCAGCATATCGTAAATATCCAATATCATGAACTCTTTCTCTAAACAAACATTTTTAAAGAGCCCCCTTAAAATCTAATGGTATAATCTACACAAAACATAGATATACTGTAGTCTCTCCCCTAATATTCCTTAAGGTACTCCATCCCATTGTCCTTCCCGCCTCACTATTTCTAGCTTGCTGAGCTTTCGTTATATGTGGGTAGTGCATTTTGTCGAGTTCTTTTTCTGCATCTGTTGGTATGATCATGTAATTTTTCTTTAGCCTGCTAATGTAATAGATTATATTAATTGATTTTATAATGTTGAATTAGCTTTGCCTATGTGGAATAAATGCCTCTTGATCAAGATAGAGGTTTAAAAATATTAAAAATTAAATTTAAAAACTATATTTTGAAGACGATTTTTAACTAAGTTATCAGAAATGGGTAAGAAATATTGAAAGATTTTTATTTCCGATATTATTTGATGAAATATATGTGAATGAAAGCAATGCCTGTTCATTCTGTAGGATCTGTGGAAATTTCTTATTCTACTTAATATAAAATTTAAAAACAGTAAGTGCCGATAAAAGTGTGGCGAAACAGGCTCTCCTACAGTGTTGTTAAAAGTGGTACACCAGTATAGATTAGCTGGTTTCCTGTCACTGGTACAAAATGTTCAATACTCACAATTTAAAGAAGTGTATTTGGCTTCATAGTTTAAGGGTTCAGTCCATGGTCTGTCGGCTCAAAAGCAGAAACACCATGATGATAAGAAATGACTGAAGAAAGCTGCTCACATCATGGTGTCCAGAAAGCAGAGAGAAGGGAGGAGGCGGAATCAGAATCCACTGTTCCAGATCACGGCTTGGAGCGATCCACCTATTCTGACCAGCTCACTTCCAAATGGAAGAATTTTGGGAATATTTTAGCCTAAACTATAACAATATTATTTACCAGTTTAGCCATATTTTAATTATAATTTAAAATTTGCTGACCCTTAAGTCCAGTGATTCAAATTGTCAGTGCTTCCCTGAGAAATTTTGTCATCAAGAAATCAACCAGTATTAGATGCTGGTGGGTTGTGGAGAAAAATGAACACTTTTCCAGTGTTGATGGGAGTGTAAACTGGTACAACCACTATGGACATCAGTGTGAAGTTTCCTCAAAAAGCTCTAATTGGAGGTTCCATTCAATCCAGCTATTCCCCTTTTGGGTATTTTCCCAGAAGAATGGAAACATCATACCACAATGACATATGTGCACACATTTTTATAGCAGCACAATTTGTAATAGCTGAATCTTGCAAACAACCAAAATGCCCACCAACCACAGAATAGATAAGAAAGACGTGGTATTTTTATATAATGGAGTACTACTCAGCTATAAGGAAGGATAAACTGGAGATTTTTATAGGTAAACGTATCCAATTTGAGATTATACTCATAAGTGAAATAAATCAGAATTGCATGTGTAAATATCTCATTGTCTCTCTAATGTAGAAAACAGAAAAAGTAAGTAAGATCTAAAGTGTACAATATATATTTTGAAACTGAAAAGGAAAGAAACTGCTCAAAAGGAAAGAAAACTACAATAGAGAAAAGGAGAAAAGAAAGAAAAGATTACATACATATGTGTGTGTACACACAAGATAGATATATACTAGTAATCTGTTAGTTCATCAAACAACAATTTGTGATTTTATTGTTTGATTTTTTCTCATTTTATTCATGCCTTTATCTTGTAATCTGAACAACTACTTTGAAGATAACAATACTCAACATATTACCTATTGATAATCTATTATTGTGTTTTGAAATTCTGTATTTTGTTTTTATTCTTTTTTGTTTTAAAATTTAAAAACCTAATACCTGAGCTTAAAAAAGAACAAAAAGAAACATTAAATGGATTTGTATTGTAGTACCAATTTTAATAGGGGAAAATTGAATGCAATTTCTGTCCAACTGAAGGAACCCCAAAGGCCTATTGATAGGAGAATAACTGAATATACAATCATATATCCATGTCTTAAAAGGTTGTGTAATAAACAGAAATAATGAAGTACTACGTGTATTATAAAATGTGGCAAAATCTCTGCTGTGCACATGAATTCATGCCGGAGTCCAGTCCCCAAAGTCATACATTAATGATATTAAAAGATTGGGAATTTAATCACAGTCTGTTTAGAGGTGGGACCTTTAGGAAGAGCTTCATTTTACCTAAAGTCATTAGGGTAGAGATCCTATGATTAGATCATGGTGGCTTTACAAGAAAGGAGATAACTCAGACATAGACATACGCTCTCTGTGTTGCTATGTGGTATCATCTGCCACCTTGGGTTTTCACCAGCGAAAATGCTACCAGAAGAATTGATCCCAATTTTCCCTTTAAATCTAGCCTATACCCAAATGTCCATCAACTGAGGAATGAATTAAAAAGATGTGATATTTTAATACAATAGAGTACTACTCTGCTATAAAGAAAGATACACTAGAGGCTTTTACAGGTAAAAGGATGCAACTAGAGACCATATTCATAAGGGAAAAAATCAGACTCACATATATAAATATCATATTGTCTTCCTCATGTAAGAAAGTGAAAGATGAAATAAGATGCAAAAGGGTCAAAAGATATTGTGAAAGAGAATGAAGCAGCTCAAAAGGAAAGAATAATTGAAATGAAAAAGGGAAAAAAAGGAAGAGAAATACACACACACATGATAGCTTATAGTTGTACTATTGATTCAACTAGCTCAGGGAAAGAAATTGTGAGTGCTTTTATTGTTTGATCTGTTTTGTATGCTGTATCTTCTAATCTGAGCCATTGTTTTAAAGATAACAATAAGCAGTATCATGACTATTGTTAATTTCCTATAAGCTTACTTTGAAATCCTAAGTCATTTCTATCATTTTGTTTTGTTTTTATTGTTTTGTTTTCTTTTAATTCTTTAAAACAAACTTGGGCCTAGAAAAATCATATATAGCCAGGCCTGAATCTATTCTGCCTTGATATTTGCTCTGCCATGTTGATTAGTCTGCTGCCTTTAAATTTACTCTCACAAAAATCTCAGGGCATGAACAAAATGCAGACAGATTCGTCACCAAAACATAGCATGAAAGGCCTCTTGTCCAATTTCCAAGAGAGTCCTTCTTTCTATCTGAAACACACGAGCACTGTTTACTGCCTGTATTCCTACAAGCATTTTGGTCCTCTTAGCTCCCACCAGGTTTGTCCCATTACATTCCACTTAACACGCGCTAGGAAGTCTCTAGCTTGCACCTCCAAACCTTTCCAAACTGCTCCCACAAACCAGTCCTAAAGGCTTCTGTATCATGTGGTCAAAGTCACAGTCATGACCGCATGTCTCTGTACAAATTTTCTATAAGTATTGTTTTTGTGTTCCTGTGACATAAGCAACTTAAAATAAGGAATTTGACTCATGGGTACAGTGATTTCCATTGATAGTCAGTTGGTTTCATTGCTTTTAGGGCTGGGGCAAAACAGAAATATCCTGGTGGAAGGGCCTGGAAGAGGAAAACTGCTCACCTCATGACATCCAAAGAAACAGAGAGAAAGAGAAAGAGCCAGTGAAGAAGGTCTAGGTAAAAAATAAATTAAGTACCCCCCCACACACACACTCGCACAGAGAGAGAGAGAGAGAGAGAGAGAGAGAGAGAGTCCATCAAAGCCAAACCTCAGTGTGCTTCTTTGCCCTCGTGGACCCTGCCTGTTAATAAGACTGTTGATTTGTAAACTTATCAATGGATTAATCCACATCATGAATTAGAGCTCTCATGATTAAATCATAACCCATATCCCATCAGATCTGAACACTGTCGCATTGAGGACCAAGCCCCAAACACATGAACGTCAGGGAAAAATAGATTCACACCACGACATATGGTGTCCCTGTTCTTCTTGCCCAGGACCCGAGCATGGCAGGAAATATTCTAACACTGCCATTCCTGCCCAGTGAAGGATTCACCCAACAGATCATCTGTGCTTGCTGCCTCACCAGTCACAGATGAGCCTCTTTCAGAGCTGTAATGAAATCGGAATTTTTTTTTTTAAACCGGTACCAGGGATCGAACTCACGACTGTGCGCTTGCAAGGCAGGCGCTAATGCCACTGAGCTAAATCCCCAGCCTCTGAAATCTGAATCTTTACCTCTCCAGTCCTGATTTCTTTCTTCTTTCCATTCCCAGATGTAAGACTAGCTTCACAGTCTCTGTGTTCTTGCCCCTTACTGGTACATAGACTCTTTCTTCCCTTTATTCTTCATGATTATTTTCCTTGAAAATCTCTGGCTTGTGCAGTTCTGCCTTGGCACTCACTTCTGTGAGGCTGCAAGCTGATATGTGGAAGAAGACACTGTTCACAAACTTTCCACAAAACAGCTTTTTCAGTACGTATGTATGCATATGTGTATTTCTGCAAAGATTTGTAAAAGCACATACCAAAGTTAAAATTGTGGTTACCTCTGGGTAGCGCATTTAGATTGGGCTGTGGTATGGCAACTTGAGTAAAAATGATTTACTGTTATTTCTTATTCATATTTATGAACAAATAACTTCTGGAAGGTTAGGCAACAAAATAATAACAAAAATAATAATTGTCACAAGAGAAGGAAAGAGAGTGACTCGGACAGTGTTAATTTTTCACTATGTGTTTTATGTTTTCTACTATTTTTTCTTTCAATGTCACATGCATGCATTACATTTTAGATTGTTTTGTAAGTGGAAGGGAAGCACAGTTGTATCCTCATCTCTATGATTTGCATGCATTTGTTGATATGGCTCACCACTCTCTTCCCAAAACTTTCCAAGACAGCCCTACTATAAGAACCAATGTATCCAATTCTCTTTGTTTAAAAAAATTTAGTTTATAAATTTATTAATGCATGTTTATAGTATAGATTGTTTACCTTCCTGTGGGAATTAGTACATGCATATAACATACTTTAATTCCTTTTTTCATCTCCTTTTCTTCCTTTTCCTCCATCTCTGTCTTTTTCCCTTCTTCGGGAAAAATCTATCTTCCCTGCTTCCTATTACCCATCTTTTATTTTGCTCTAATGTATCTAATGTATCTAATTCTCCTTCTGTTGTTAGCAGATGGTGGCTGTGGTCTCATGCAGTCTTTTTAAGCATGAAAAAACGACTACCTTCCAGTTAGCTGGGTAACTCCAGAATGGATACCATCAACAGGTCTGAATATTATAAAGAAATACGATTGTAAAAGAGGAGGTTAATGAGGTCAAGAGATTCCATGCAACCGTGCCATATTCAGGAAGTTAAAATATATTTTTGTGCGATGAAGAGACACTACAGATTTTGAGCAGGA